GAGCGAAACAATCTGCGAGGATGATGGGATGCCAATCATTAACATCCATCGACGTCTTGGACGATGGGCAGAATTTTTCGAAGGGCAGTTCAACTGGCCTGCTGCTCCGGCAACATCGGTCAGACTGTCCTGCCCTCCATGGCCGGTGACGACTGATCCACCAAATGAGGCGGAAGTCCGCAAGGAACTTCCAACCCTTGAAGCGCTACAAATCACCGGGCCCAGATGACTTACCTCCGGCTCTTTTTAAAGATGGTAGTGACTTTCTGGTTAAGGAACTAACAACGTTGTTTGAAAAGGTCTGGGAACCAGAGAGTGAACCAACATCATAGAATGAGTCGATAGTTGTCCCTATCTTTAAAAAGGGTTCACGTCGTTCCCGTAACAACTATCGGGTGATAAGTCTACTTCCGATTGCGTTCAAAATATCGGCTTCCGTCAAACTTCGTAGATTGCTCAAAACCCGAGAAAGTTTGACTCGTGAGGAGCAGGCTGGGTTTCGTTCTGGTCGAAGATGTATTGGTCATATCTCCAGCCTCCGCCAAATGTTAGTACACCGTCATACTTACCAAAGGCCAACAATCGTAGTGTTTCTTGACATCAGGGCTGCCTTCGATTCGTTGGACAGGACTGTTCTCTGGGACTGTCTATTGAAGAAGGGTGTGCCTGAGAAGTTTATTAACATCCTAAAGACCCTATATACAAACACCTCAAGCAGAGTGAGGGCATACAACCAGTGGGGTCAGAAAGGTTTGCCTAATCTCACCATTTCTCTTCGATTTTGCCATCAGTGACATTCTGCAAACAGCTCTGATGGATGTAAGTAATGGTGGTGTGGATCCGTCGCCTGGAGAAAGACTTCTCGACCTTGAGTATGCGGACGACATTGTCTTACTGTGCGATAATGCCCAAGCCATGCAATCCGCACTTAATCAGTTGGCAATCAGTGTCCGTAGGTATGGTATGTGCTTGCATCTTCGAAGTGCAAAGTACTTCTACAAGACTGGCAGGATTCCAATCCTGTACTCATCCTGGATGGTGAGCAGATGGAAGTAGTCGAAAAGTTCGTGTATCTGGGTAGCTGCATAAGTGCTGGTGGGGGTGTGAGTGATGAGATCAATACACGTATAGTGAAAGCCAGAGCGGCTTATGCCAATCTGGGCCACCTTTGGCCCCTTCGTGATGTTAGTCTGGCTGTAAAAGGTCGGATCTACAACGCGTCGGTGAGAGCAGTCTTGCTCTATGCTTATGAAAGCTGGCCTCTCCGAGTTGAGGACGTTAGACGACTGTGTTTCACTATCGTTGACTCCGAAGGATTGCTGACATCTAGTGGAAACACCATGTTAATAATGCAGAGGTTTAGCATCGTGTGTTCGGGCGCAGAGGCGATTATTCAATTGGTGTCACTATCTTGAAACATCTACTTCGGTGGCTTGGACATGTTATCCGAATGTCGTCCCAGAGAATTCCTCATCGTTCATTATTTTCCGACACTGGGACTGGTTGGGAAAAGTGGAGAGGTGGTCAGTGTATGACATTGTGTCGGGGTATGAAAGAAAGCTGCAACGGGCTGGCTCCTATCGGTCTTTCACGATTCCCTGGCTGGGGTCCGAGAGATGGTGCAACAGTGGCTAGAGACGTTATCAGATATGGCTCAGAATAGAAGCCAGTGGCGACCCTGCTGTGACCTCTTACTTTCTTCATGAAAAATGGTTGTTTCTTCCTTAACTGGAAGATTTCTTCTGATTGTGCCTTTCCGTTTCCCCCATTATTACTTTTATTACTATTACACTACCTTATACTGATCTGTCCGTTATTGTTCTTTTTTCTCTTCGAATTCTCATTATTTTGTTTGGCGCATATATATCTGGTGCCCTCTTGTACCAACATTTATGTGTTATAATAAATAAACTTGGTGAGATATCTTTATTTCCAGTCTGTCTGTGACACTTGTTCTTCTTCTTGTTTTGTTGTGACTGACTGACTTGTTCTTCCTCCCAAATCTTCCTGAATAGAACGTGGTGCATGTTTGCTGTTACTTCTTTGTGTGACTTTAGTGCTTCGGCTTGTATATTGTCAGGTCCTGTTGCTTTCCAACTCTTGATTTATCTGATGTCCATGCTGATTTCTTCGATCGTTGGTGGAGTGACATCTGTAGGAATGTCTAAGCGTCTTGCTTCGATGTCCGGGCGGGTCTATTCAAAAGTTAAAATTATGTGTTGGACCTTTGTAATACAGTTTCTCCAGCTGTCCACTGATGATCTGAAATTGCTATATACGGTCGCTCCCATCAATAATTGTATATTTCAGGATTTAATGAATATAATTATTTCTACCATTATTTTAAGTTGTTAAAATGTTGATGCTTTCTACAAAATCATATAACGAGGTCTAAGAGACTCTGGGAATTAAACTCCAATTTAATTCATCCATTTGAATTGAAACAACAGTAAGATTGATTAGATCGAGTTTCCACTGAAAACATTGCATCATACCTGTAGACAGTAATGAGATGCTCCTTGAGATCATAATTTCTCTGTATAATTGTTAGTGGTGGGGATTGATAATTGAGCACAAGTCAATGAGTTTTTCTGTTTGTTGACCCAACTGGCATTCATTCATGTGTTACGGTTTAATGTAAGATGACTGGACACAGAAACCAACAAACAAGTTTTACTGTATATAAAAGATATATCAGAAATTACAACCGGATTGTTGGAGCCTTTGGGAATAGGTGTAGTACACAAACCAACAAAATAATACTCCTGGAGTTCTAGAGAGAAGCCGTAACCCGTGGAGTTCAACCAGGTCTGTTGTGAGATATCAACTCACTGAAGACAATGGTGTACGGTGGCGCAACTTCGTGGATTGGTTGGAGTTAGACATTAACACCGTTGTATACCGGCTCAGTGGTCTAGTGGTTAACTGATCGCGCGCGGAACCAGTAGGTCCTGGGTTCGAACCCCGCAGGGGGCGGGGTCGTGGGTGCGCACTGCTGAGTAGTCCCATAATAGAACGGAACGGCCGCCCCGTGCTTCCAGGTATTCCACGGTGGTCTAGCTTCAATTGACTCATGATTTTAACCAGTGAAATTTCTAAAATCTCCACAAAACCCCTCTAAAAATAACTTCAATCAATCCTATGCAAACCAGAGGGCGAAATGACAAAAGAAAAATTGAACATCATCTACAAAATAAATTGTTGCAAATGCAAAAAACACTACATCGAACCAAGTGGACGTCCCCTTTACCTTCATCTGCAAGAACAACTATTAGCAGTCAAACGCCATGACTCATATGAGCAAATGTGGACACATTCGACCGAAAAAAATGTTGAGATCTTGGATAAAGGCAATCCTAAAAACAACGGAATTTTTGAAACTTAGGTCAACCAGCAGTCAATAAACACAGTGAAATCGACCCAATTCACCAACCAATCAGAAAAATCATGGACAAATGTAGGACTAAGAATCAAATCAACTGGAGATACAATCAAAATAAGGAAGTAAACGATGACAGGTTCAAAATCAACAATAGCCAATCAAGGTTGAGATCTACACATGACAAGCTGTGAGCCATGTGTGGAGAACTTCAAACATTTCTTTTCTACCTGAAGTTTTTGTTGATGTCGTTCAGAACTACGATGAAAGCGCCACGACTAAACCATCCATTTCAGACAACAAATCTCCACCAAAAAGTAGTTATTTAGTATCAATGAACTAGTTCAAACATAATTATTGGAAGGTGCAATTGATGGTCATCACAGTTCATTATCTACGGTTAAACTACAAAATACATTATGGTTAGAACTTCATAAATTGATAATAAGGTCGAAAAATGTGATGTTGCTTGCTGTTCATTCTGTAAGAATGAACGTTTGTTTCATGCATATATGGCATATATCAAACTCTTTTTACATTACTGTTGATCATTGCAAAGGTATCTCACGAGTCCTTCCTGACCTCAAACATGTTTTGGCAGAAAATTGTCTTGCCAGTTTGGTTGTATGGAGTCAATAATTAAAATGACTCAGGAAAGTATTATATTCATCTAATAATCCAGAACCTTAGCGAGTGAAATGTCATGAGCAACTCGACAAGTAATCATACATGGTGATTGCCTTGAAACACATCATAACACGATTGGTGTAATTCCACAAACGGAACAGACTAAATCTATCTAGGCTAGCATACTTTGGACTGTCAAACGATAAGAATAGGTTAGAAGAGCAGAGATATTTGAATAATCAATACTATCCGACTCTACATACATAAGAAATCAGTAATAAACACCAAATCGTTATTATTTCCAGACTAAACAAGACAGTGTTTGACATAGTACGACATGTATACTATACACAATAAGGCAAAATGTTATATAGAAGAGGTGAAATGTCGCCTACAAATTTGATTAGAAAAAAACACTGGATTAAACTAACAATGAAAACAGATTATCTCAATTACTGTATAATCATAGAAGTCAACTGACAAAAATAATAAAGACAGTTTATCAGTGTGTCGTAGTATATTCACTAGTGGAAGTTTTAAAATTGGATAAAATGAAATTCCTTCTTATATCATCTAAAATAATTTCGAATGAAAAAAGTAGGTAGTACAATGGAAACTATCAAATAAATGTTTGTCTTATGTGTCTGTGTGTGTATGTGATACAGCTTGCAAGTGTAAATGGTGTATAAGAAATCTGCTAAGAGAGAAACCTAATTTACTGCATAAATAGTGTGGAAAAAACCCATAAGGATAAAGAAATGATAATGATTTCTCTCGAAAAATTAAGGCATCAGTGTATCATATAACAAAAAGTGATTGTATATATCCATATGTACAAATAGGGAGACTGGAGGATGGTGTAATACTGCCGATCATCGTATTTTAAAGATACAGATAAGAAACAAAATAATACTAATTGGAAATTGTTTATAGAAGTGAATAGTGAAAATGATATGGTTCATTGTTTAAAAAAAGTATACCTATGAGCATACGTTCGCTATGTATAAAAAAATTAACATGGTAATAATAATAAGGCATAAACAAGGGAAAAATGAATTCATCAAGTTTCTTTATTTCATCATAAGTCAGTATCTCGTGAAACTCCACTTAAACGAACATAAGGAGAAGTACCTCTGAAATTTCTGTTCATCATCAACATACCAGGATAATTACTTTTATTACTGTGGACACTATTCACTGGACTTCTCGCAGATGTTTGTGTTGTATTCACAGATTTTTTCAACGTCGGTGTAGTAGAAGTAGCTGTTCTGGTGGTAGTCGATGATGAATCCGAATCTTGCAGTTGTACATATTCTGATTTCGGCAATAAAACTGGTTGAAAATAAAGATTTTTTTGAACATATGCTGTAGGAACATAACCAATTTCATGTATCCGCTGTTTACGACATACATGAAGCCAATCAGTAGTATCTTCCGTTGGATCAGTTGCCAAAATATAAAATTGCTCATCAGCCTCAAATGCTAAGTAACACGATTCAAAACCATCGCCTAGTAATCATTTTATTCGAAAAAAAGTAAATATAAGACAGATTAGATTATTATTAACACATTTATATAATATGTTTATTTGAATACAGAATGGCGCGTTCGGCCATCAGTGGTATATATTTTATTTATTTGAACACAAATATTGGTACAAAGGGGCACCAAATACATATGCACCACACAAAATATCATTTAATTTGTGTGAGGGATGTGATACTGCTCGGGTGTCCAGACCGACGCAAGTGGTTTTCTTAAGGGACCACACCCAAAGGCCTTTGATCTAAAGGTCTAGTCCACAAGGCAGTGGATCAACGTCAGGAGATGCAGTCTCATGGTAGCCGGTGATCGACGATTGGTTCATACGCCCTTTGTCTCTTCAGGATCCTGGAGCCCATGTGCACTATTGGTTTGAAATCAGGGTTTTCCAACTACCCTAGGTGAACTCTCAATATCAACCAACCAGGTTAAAGCACCGGATATTTCGCTTTTCTTCCTCTCAATTTCGTAAACAACAACCCCGTCTCGAGTAAGCAGTGAGTAGGACTTTCCTGGTTGTATACACGTGGTCATGTAAGAGCATTTCGAGAGGAAGAGCTAACTCTCACCACCCTCGACTGTACCAGGGTATTGGGAGAAGTGAATGGAGCTGGCTGGTGGGGGTGAACCTGTCTACATCAATCCAGAGAGGGCCGCAAACCACTTCAATCAAAACCATCCACAATATGCACGGCATCAAGAATATCAGTAGCGACTCCCTCCTTACTCATTTATGCCCCCCAAACGCCCTGGTACGACGGAGGATGGGAGAGTCCGCTCTCCCTCTCAAAATGTTCTCCTATGGTCACGTGTATACAGCGACCACCAGGGAAGTCTTGCTCACTGCTTACTCGAGGCGGGGGTGTTGTTTACGAAACTGAAAGGAAGAAAAGCGAATGTCCAGCGATTTAATCAGGTTGATGGATACGGAGAGTTGGAAAACTCTGGTTTCAAACCAATAGTGCACACGGGCTCCAGGATTTTAAGAGAACAAACGACGTATGGATTCATTCTTGGAGACCGACCATCATGGGTCTACACCTCCTAACATCGCTCAACTGCCTTTTGGTTCATACATCGAGGTCAAAGGCTCAAGGAGTGGCCCCCTAAAGAAACCACCTGATTTGGTCTTGGCACCAAGGCAATAACCAAGTCCTCACACAAACTTTGTGTTTCGTATATCTATTTTGATGCTATTTTGTACCAATGTTCATGTGTTTGAGTAAATAAAATATTGGATACAGTACTTCAATATTGTCACATTAAAAATTATATTGCAACACACCTACACTTTTTTAAATACCATTATGCGAAGAAAATTCATTGGAAATTGATGAACAATAACATCATGATTATCTTTCAAGCAAATACTAATGTAAGTATATGGATAATTTTAAGATTCCTTAATATTGAGGGTTATATAAAATACTGTAAGACATCAAAGTGTCAGTTATAGAGTGATCAATTGAGAACTTTTTCTGTATACTGATCTATAGATCAACTGATATAATTAGCTTCGTGAGTGATACAGCTTACTGAAGTAGTCTTGGTTATTTCACCAGCAAGAATCTTATTGAGCTGAGATATAGATTTTCGAAGCCTATGAATTACATGCGATTAAACATCTAAAATTCCACTACTATACCATAAGCCTTTATCCGACCAAAAAATTGGAGGAAAACAGGATATACGACTCAGGACCTTCTTGAAGTTTAGTTCAACTACAGTAGACGTGACTTTCAATATATCCTAGTGGGAGGCCTGTTTATCTACGCGAGGGGTAACAGGTTTAAGTGACGTTCAATAATCTTTAAAAAAAAAAACAAAGTGATGATTCATAAGTCGGATCAATCAAACGACAAATGAACATAAATAATGTTGAGTTTAAAAATGTAGCAAAAGCGCTGATCAATCAGACAAATTTCGTGCATTTCACGGCTTCTGTGGGATTCGGAGCGAAAATAAATCAATATTTTTCTGACCGATAGATCTCATCGATTCAGATTGAGACAAACAAGTTTCGAAGAAAAAGCAGTGTGACAGAGCAAGGTGATGTACATATGCCTTTATTCACAAAAAAGATGGTGACTAATTAACACTTGTTAACAGTTAGCTATCAAGCCTTTAGTTTATGATTTCATAAATATGGGAATTTTAATGTATAAATCCTTGGTTCTCAATAAATTTTAATGAGTATACTGTATAGTATATGCTCATTGTTACTGATACACGTTGAACTAACCGTTTAATTGTACTAACAACAACAGTAGCATAATAGTTTAAACTTCATACACAAAACGCGTTACACAACATAAGGTTGTCTAACTACCAAGAACAGCAGAAATTCACAAATATACATTTTAACAACAAACGGACAATTTCCGAGATTATAACAAAATGTATCGTAAAATATCAAGGCCAATTAAGCATAAATGGTTTGTAATTGGGACGGTTTATATTTCATTACATCAAGTGCAAAAATAAGCGTTTTATTTGTAACAAGACAAATAAACAGAAAACTGAAATTTTTCAAATAAAATGGTAATTTTCTATATAGCCATAAAGTTTTTTTCATGTATGAAGAATGCAGGCGCTCGAGTGGCATACATACAATGTTTATAACAAGGAAACATTGTAAAGTAAGGGAGAAAATGCTTATAGTCAAATCGTGGCGGTGGAATTACAAAGCAAGCACGTTTATCACGTATATAATCAATACAATTATTATTATTACTCAGTATATTTAATAAAAATCAGGTCGAAATTTATTCGTCGTTTCAATCGAATTTTAACATGATTTCTAATTGTTCAACAGTAAGTATTAAAAATAAGTTTAATTACTTATTGTCACTCATCGAACTTATGTAACCTGAACGAGAAAATTAAGGTTTTAAACAATAGTATTATCAGTCAAATTCTGAGTTTAGTATAACCGTTTCTTCATATTAAGTTGTTTATTTAAAATTAAATTTAAAAAAAACTTAATGGCCTGCTTGAACATCTGAGCTACCTGTCCCTGACATCTACATATTTCAACAATTTATCTAATTTTCTTTGTTTAAATACATCATTATGGCTATTAATCGCATAACCTATTCAAGTGCGTTTCCGAAAAGTGTAAAACATTTCGTTGTACAAGTTACAAAAGACTCAATCAGAGATATCGTTGTTACTGGCACTATGCAGAGAAAAGAATGTACATTATTTAGATGTCGATTGATTCGACTTTTTATTTTATTTATTTTAACACATAGATATTGGTACAAGAAGGCACCAAATACATATGCGCCACACAAATCTCATTTGATATATGTGAGGGCTGTGATAATGCCCGGGTGCTATGTCTTTGGAAAGTCTTCATATCGATGTCTGCTGTCTATCCGAGATCCGTATTCAAGACTCTGGTGAAGTACTACAAATTCGCTCTACATCTGTCACTTCAAAAAGCTTGTTTTACGTGCGCTTATCCGTGGACCCTGTGGCATCTTCGTCTGGTCTCGCTGGCGTTGGTGTCGCACTAAGCGCTAGAGCGGAGGCAGCACTAGTCGATTGGATCCACATTAACAGTCGGTTATGTGCTGTTAGATTAGAAAGTTCCATCAAAGTGAGAGGAAATCGGTGTGGGAAACGATGTCTTTTCGTCATCTCCGCCTATGCCACGACAGATTGCAGCCCGAATGCAATCAAGAATGAATTCTACCACCAGTTATCTGTTCTTCTCCAGAAAATGCGTTCGACAGATATTGTAGTACTAGCCGGAGACTTGAATCCTAGGTCGGGCGTCTAGGCACAGAAGAGAGTCGTTTAGGTGGCCGATGGGGACTCGCTGGTCGCAGGTCAGATAACGGGGACCGTCTACTGCAACTGTGCACAGACCACAACCTGTTTCTGGCTAGCACTAACTTCCGGCATAGTCATCGCCGATGTGCCACCTGGCGTCCTCTCTCTGCATCTGAAGCCTGGACTCAGATTGATCACATCGCGATCAGCTACTGCTGGTGTGGTTGTGTACAAGACTGCCGCTCCTTTCGGAGTACCTATCTGGACTCTGACCATGCCCTGGTCTGCGCCAATCTTACCTTACTTTTCAGTGGACAACGAAGGGACCGCCAGAAAAGGATTGATATTAGCAAGCTGGTTGCAACATCTGTTGCTAGTAAGTATCGAACCGAACTAGTTTCTAGGCTAGCTACCATTCCGCCGAAAAGTATAAATGAGCATTGGTTACAATTGTATGACGCGATGAAAATGGCGGGTGCAGTCAGTTGTGGGCTTGCGAAACGTCCCGCTTATAAGCACTGGGTTTCTTCTGGTTCCTTACAACTCATTGAAGCTTGTCGGTCTACTCCGGGTGACCGTGAGTTTGACCGCAAACGAAGGTTGTTACGAAGTGAAATTAGGCACAGCCTGCGTAAGAACCGAGAAGCCTGATGGTCGAAGCGTGCTAATGAGCTGGAAGCAGCAGCTGCATCTGGTAACTACCGGAAGCTCTTCCAACTCATCCGAGCCACTGGCAGCAAGAAGTCTGGTGTGAGCGAAACAATCTGCGAGGATGATGGGATGCCAATCATTAACATCCATCGACGTCTTGGACGATGGGCAGAATTTTTCGAAGGGCAGTTCAACTGGCCTGCTGCTCCGGCAACATCGGTCAGACTGTCCTGCCCTCCATGGCCGGTGACGACTGATCCACCAAATGAGGCGGAAGTCCGCAAGGAACTTCCAACCCTTTTTAAAGATGGTGGTGACACTTAGTTTTATAACAAAATAATTAATATATTTCCAGTCATAGTTAAAGGCTCCATTTGTTCACTAAATCTTTAGTAACGATATTATACAAATATACATGCAAAAGGTACATATCACACTTGAACTCATTTCACGTCAAACAAAAAATTAGATTTGCATAGAAATAAACAAGTGTTTAGTGTAAACTAATTTTAGGCTTTATATACCTACAATACGAACCATTCAGTCAGTTAACGTAGGACTTAACACATACGTGAATCGGTCAACGCTGCCATATTAGAAAAGCCAGGTGAAATTAACAAGATTAATTGCAAGTGAATCGCAATAAAAGTAAGAAGGATTGAACACTGAAAATAATGACTACGATTATAACGCAAGCTCTAACCAGATAGTATTCACCTTTTGAAATGATGTCACCTATTGGTTTGACCCCTAGCTAACTTCCAATCCACTTCTACATCGTACGCCAAGGTAGGTTATGGTTTGATATAAGTGGCATATGTCCCAGACACGTTATTCGATGAAAACTCACTGCCTAACTAACCGATATGAAAAATTGATCGAAACAATGCTAACGAAAAAGTACATTTCTATTGGATAGTTTAATAAGAAAACAAAGATTATCGGACAAATGGAAAGTAAGAGGAAACAAAGAAAGTAAGAAAAATAATGTTCAAGACAATTTGAAATTTACTACGCTGGATAATAAATTAATATTACCAGGGTAGGTTTACGGTGAGAACAAACTGTTTTTGAGTTAACAAAGGGAGTTTGAACTTTTGTATGGCCGAGGCTTCAATAAACTCTTGTATACGCCCTTTAACACTTTTGTACACCACCACAAAAGCCATGTTAGAATTAATCTTATGACCTGTTTCAATTATGTTTGAGAATGGAGGACCATGGATGTTTATCATCTACTGTTATCGGGTTATTTAACTGTATTTACTTTTTCAATCATATAGGTGCATGTTCAAACACCCTAATTTGCAAATCACGATAACTCTCTCTCTCCACATGTGTGGCCACACACATACATGTAAACTGATGAGTATAGTAGGATGTGATATAACTGTTCAGTGTAAAATTTAGACGGTATGAAACTGATCAATTTCAGTCCTAAACATCAATAGGAAGATTCAAGCAACCAATAACAAATGAATTAAAGAGACCAATTGTTTCGCATTTTCTATTGGATCGAATGTAATACAAACCATGTCTAAAATATGTTTCTATTCTATCAATTACAAAATTCTAATATTATAATTACAAAATTCATTCTAATTTCAATTACATGTTATTCACTTGTAATTGAAGTACTTTATGCATCAAAATACATTTGTCACTCTTCTTCTTTGGTTAGTACTATACATAAAATTGAATCACTATGTACAAATAGTGAATTCATCAAACCACTTGAAGATAAATAGTAATGATACAGTAATTAATCCATTACAAAAGCATTTTATTTAATCAACCAATTTAATGATGCTGCTCTAAACATATTCACACAAATAATATACATTGTAAGGTGATGTTATACATATTATTTAATGAAAATTCTTTTCTTATATTCTACGAAAAAATCAATAATGACAGGTATTATTGATCTGTTGGAATTATAAGTGAAGTTTTAAGAACAAGTTTTCCGCATTCTCTCATATATTGCATAATTGAATTAAGGATAATAGAATGATTATTTGAGTTTTACTTATGACGATTCAATGAATGAGTCATTGAGTCCTAATGTAAACAAATAATAGTAGTACAATCTGGCATTTTATGGATTGAAGTTGATCTAGTTACATTTTGATCCATCTAGATCTACATATGCCCAACTGTGAAAAATAATTTTTAGAAGTGAAATCTCTTCACTCTTTCAAACTCATGTTGACTTTCTAAGTGAATTTTGTAAATGAACTATTCATAAAATATATTATATTGTCAATATATTATTCAAAAGCGAAAAACTGGAAATGAGATGCAAAGTTGAGAAGTCGGATGATAATTAATCCTGAATTTTACGTCCTAGAGATGTGATGATTCTAGAATCTAGCAATGTCAACTTTACAAAGCAATCAGGCTTTCCAATGTTAAAATTTCAGTGGATTAGAATAGGTTTTATGAATCTTAGTCGTCTATAACGGACATCAATGAATGATTTGTGTAGCTTAAAAAGAGAATAATATTCTTCCATAAATTAACTGGGCTTCAAGGCTGCTAAACGAAGGTCTACTCCGACCGACTATGAAACAACTGGCTGTGGGTTTGAACAGTATCGAGGTTCATACTCAGACTATCAGATGATAAGCAAGAACTATAAAATCTGATACAGGAAAATCAATGGAAAAAGATGAGAGACATGTCATACTAATGTAGTGTAAGTGAATATCTACAAATTCATCAATTGACTAATATCCTACATTACTGACTAGATGATTACATCATGGTTCAAAGGAGTATAAAAATGACTACTAACACAATTTTGAAAATATAAATGAAAATTTGAAAAACGATATAAAGTAGAATCTCCATCTCGTTACCTGTAAATGGATACAAGGCATTGCAATCACCAATAGCAACGATCTGTGATTCTTTTGACTGTCTATTATTATTATTATCATCATCATCTTGTTTGTGATAAGAACTAGAGGATATTGAACAAGTGGAATCAATATTATCGACTATGCCTTCAGTTACTTGTTGTTCGTGTTTAAGGTGATGACGTAATGACTGGTCCTGTTGTTGACACTTTTGTAGTTGTGAGTACCAAAGTCCTTGCTGTTCATGTTTTTTTAAGAGATTTTTATTATGATCATATAAAACTTGATCAGAGTTTTTTAATTCGAAATGATTATAAGATGAATTCATTTGAGAATAGATTGTGTTACTATTGTGATTAGACTTTAAATTAATATGGTGAGAATCTCCATTTATTGTTGAACATTTACTATAATCATCATTATTATTAATTGTAGATCTATTAGTGAATGAATTTTGTTTTAAAGTAGGCATTTGACCATTCAATGGTTCAGGTAGTTGACTGCGTGATGAGGTTAACGCTGACTGTGAAAATGATTCAACTGGAGTTACAATAGAACCAGTTTCTGGTTCAGCTAAAGGAGCAGTAAATAATTTATCCTGTTTTAATAATTGTTTAGATGAACCACCATTTTCCATTGACTTTCCTGATGTAGTAAGATAATAAAGAGGGATGGAAGACCTTTCATGAACAGACGATAAGCCTTTCGCTTGAGAGTCAGAACGAGAATGAAGAGATGGTGAAGGAGTATGAGTTGTTGTTGTTGTTGTTATCGTCGTAACAGGAAGAACAGCAGCAACCGCACCACAGCTGGGAGCATCAGGAGATTGACATGACGATGCCACAGACTGAGGTACTCCATTTAGGACAGATGTTGATGCATAGGCTACATTATCACTGTCAGTGGTTGGATGAATTCTAAATTGTCGTATATAAGTGTTATTGTTGATAGTTATTTTGTCATTTCCATGACCATTATTTCCTAATTCAGAATTCGAGTCAGAGAAATCACTAGGATCTGTAATAGCATTGTCCCTTAACCTATTAATACTACCAGTAATTCTAGAATTATGAGTTGTTCTCCTTTTCGAGTCAAACAGACTAGATAGAAAAAGTAAATTTAAAAAAAACAGAACTACAGAAATTTTGGAAGCTGATGTTAGTTGAACTCATCAAATCAAATAGAAACCAATCACATAAACCATAAATCTTAACAGATTCTATGAGTAACTTTTAACATTAAAGATTTGATATGAACTTAAGTCTGCTTGAAACAGATCTCCTTCTTTATTATAAATATATTTTTCTTCTATAGTCTTTTAAGTTCAGTAAAATTTGATGGTGATAACTGTAAAACCAGTTACGCACAATAGATTTCGTCATTTTTTTAAACTCACATTCCGGAACAGCCAAGCACCAAAATATAATAAACAATAAATAAGCAACCACGTTACACTAGCCCCCAAATGCCCTGGTACGACCGAGAGTGGGAAGAGTCCGCTCTCCTTCTCGAAATGCTCTCACATGGCTACGCGTATATAGCCTCTGCCAGGGAAGTCCTACTCACTGTCTTCTCGTGGCGGTGGTGTTGTTTACGAAAACGAGAGGACGAAAAGCGAATGTCCGGCGCTCTAACCGGATTCCAAACCAATGGTGCACATGGGCTCCAGTATCCTGCGGGAACAAATGGCGTATGAACCAATTGTTGGTCACCGGCTTCCATGGGACTGCATCTCCTTACGATGCTCCACTGCCTTGTGGATCAGACCTTCAGGTCGAAGGCTCGGGGTGTGGCCCCCTAAGAAAACCACCTGCTTCGGTTTGGGCACCCGGGCAGTATCACAGCCCTCACACATATCGAATGAGATTTGTGTGGCGCATATGTATTTGGTGCCTCCTTGTACCAATGTCTATGTGTTAAAATAAATAAATAAATAACGTTACACTATCTCTAGGACCCCAAACCTGGACGTTTTAATGAATCGACAGATCCCCGTCAAATATGGTCTTTTGCCATATCACAGAGCCATTTAATAAGCTAGTTGCCTTTACATTTTTTCAAACCAGTCATAGCACTGACAAATAATCTTTGATATAGAAAGCCACATGGATGGCATTCGCAACACATGGCCGGTTCATCGAAATCTCTTTTTGAAAACGCTAACACTAAATGAATTATTATCACTGTGCCTGAATACACATTTCCGAATCTCAACACTATTATTGCAGAGTTGGCACCAAATAACAGCAATCCTTCAGAGATAACGATGACCAGAGACGGATAGTTGTTGAATAGCCTCAACTTGGAGAAGGGGGTTTCATAAGCCATGAACTGAATGGCTCTCACGGACATCTAATACACCCAACCTTTTACAGTCAAAAAAACATCACGAATGTTCTAAATATAGCCCAAATTAGCATAAACCTCTCTGGCTTTAAATATGTGTAGGTTGATTTGATTTATCATGTAACCACCAGCACTCATACTGTGGTGCGTGCTACTTATATTGATGTAAGTAGTATATCACGCGAGTTAAAACGTAATATTTGGCAGCAGAAGATGAGGTGAAGATCAAAAAAGCAAGAGCGAGAACACAATGGAATTTGTAAGAAAACGCATGTACAATGGAATAGTGTTTGCGACGGAAACAGTCCGGTTTGATATGATGCATTGATATTTTGCAAATTGACGATTGACTTTATGGTATTCAGATTTTTTGTGCTAAATACAATCAGTTATCCTCACCTGCGTTCTCCTTCACAACAACACTACTACTCGAATACTCAAACTTTCTGACTTCTTCTAAAGGCTCACTACCAAGAGAAACTGGAGATAAAGGATTCTGTCAATCTTGTAGAAGTACATTGCATTTAGAAGGTACAAATTACATGCTATACTAACGGATACTACTAATTGTTAATTGATTAATTGCAAATTCTATAATGTATGATTCACCGCACATTAAGACAATGATATCCGTATACCCAATATCTAAATGTCTTTTTCCAGGTAGCCGACTATAATAGTCAAGTGATGATGATCCGAATTCTGTTTCGGATGTTAAATAGTAAGTTTAGAAATCAAGATAATCAACTAGTCTTTGTGAAGTAATTAACAGACACGTTATAATGAACTTTAAAATCATTATTATTCTCTGTGAAACAGAACGAGGTATACTTTGCAACTGTTAAATATGTATTCAGTTTTAGAAACTGAATAAAAATATATAACTGTGTCTGTCATGCTGTTGGGGATGTCAGATTCCCAGAACTCACTTGGTAAATGCCTTAATTTTGTAGTTTTATTTTGGCAATTTAAATTACCTTGTTTTCGCGCCAAAAGCGCTTTTTTCACCTTCATGTCGTATTTCCCACTTGGAAGAATCTTTAACGCTATTGGTCCGTTGTGTATTTTTAGTATGCTATTTTTGCAACGCTTCCCAAAGACAGTTTTATGCTGTATAAATACGTTTGTGTCTGTTATTATTCACTAGTGCTTCTGGCTTACGGAATATACTTTCCCGTTCCAAGCTTGGACTTCTTCCTCTAGTTAGCGGGGCTGGAACGCATCAAATAGCTAGCTTATTGGTTTACGGTCACAAGTCTTTGCTCCGGACGCATACTAAGTGAACTAGTGACAGCTTCAAACCTAGTACATGCAGTAGGTATGACATGGTTAAAAGCACTTTTCAACAATTATTATACTTTTACCTCAAAAATTGATTTCAATTAGATAACCAATGAAAACGGGAAAGCATCAGATAGCTATTTAGTCCTAGTATGAGACACCTATGTAGTCCGAACGAACCCAGGACCTACGGTTTCGTGTCGCGCGCTCAACCACGAGATCACTAAGGTGCTATCCAATGGTGTACATGTCTAATTTTAATCAGCAATATAGTGCAACCATTAATAATTATTAACCAATTTACAAATTGATTTAGACCATTTAGCCAAACTACATTTTTAAGACAAACAAAATCGTGCGGATCATCATGATAATTGGACCGTTTTGTTCCGTTAAATACCGAAAAATCAGTTTCTAACCTACACTACCAACCATGTTTGTTAAAATACACATCGCAATTTGAAATAAACCCAAATTTAATAGCAAAACATCGTAAAACTCTTTCTCATATTTCAATAATGTCATAGAGTATAACACTGATACGCAAGTGCATACGTATTAATTATAAACACATGGTGGGGGAGATTTCACTTTTCTAGGCGATGAAATATGACACTTTGTTGAGACAAAAAAACTCATTTTGTCATTCAATCAGTGAGTTTCGCGTAGTCAGTGACATAACTGTTCTGATGATTACCAATTGTAAGTGTAAATACTAAAAGGGCTGAATAATTTCACTTAACCGACGCAAGAGTTGTTTTAACATCAGTACTTGAATGTATATTTACAACTAGGTAATAATATATAGATTTATGTAATCGGCTGATAGACAATTTTCCGTGTACGTCCAAGGACCTATAGTGCATTAAAGCTACCTCCACCACATAAGATGAAGCATGGCTGAAACAAGTTATTTAAAACCAGTTAGATTGAGCATCAGGAATTAATGATATGAGCAAATTAACAATTTGTTTACTTCAGCCATTTGAGCAGTTTTATCGGTCAATCACGCATTTGTAACAACACTAATCTATTTTGATATCAGATGGTTAGAGCTAAACCATATTACTGCTTAGACGTAGGATTTCGTACTAGTTGGCATTTGTTAGTCAAATCTGTTCAAGTCTATATTTGTTCAGTAAACACAACGGAGAACTTCGCTTCTTCGGATTGAGATTTCGCCACTTATTTTATTCGAAAATACATATATCATTCTTTATTCTACACTATATTAATAACTAATCAACCGTGCTTTCATTTGTTCTTTTTCTATTGTGGATTTGAAGAAATAAAAATTAACTGTAGTAATTAATAATGTTGTTTCCTTAGTCCAATGAGAAATATAAGTGAATACAATTTGTTTAAGAAAAACTAACTCATTATATTTTAGAGATTTATCGAAAGTGCACTGATGTGAAGAGAAAAACAGAAAATGACCATTCCTACAAAATCGATTCGTTAACAGATTTATTCTCTCAGTAAATTATTGTTGGTAATAATAGTATTAACTTTATGCGCCTTTCTGTGTATGTGTGTGTGTCCATTTAAGGTGTACCAGCTGCAATAATAAGATTTATCTGCTTACAGAGAATACTGAAATAACTAATCTATCAGTGTGTTCTGACAACTCCGTACTTTCGATTTACTGGAACTCTTTACTTCATCCGACAATTGTAGCAACTTCTAAGTCACGTTTCACAACACACTACTTACAAATAATCTTGTGAGTAGCGTCCACTACAACCAAACCAGGTCTGACAACGAAATGTCGAAATGATTGATTAGGCTCCATTGGTTCTTAGATTCGGTGATTCAATTTATTACTTTACTTTTTAAAGATCATGTAATAATCTGGTCAATATATATATATATATATATATATATATATATATATATATATATATATATATATATATCATATTATCTTCAACAAAGTAGTACAATGAAAAAAAGGATAACTAAACTTTACACTTATCACTTGTCCAACACACAAAATATATAATTCGAAGTAAATGATTAACATTCAAATAAAAACGAGAGTACTCAAAGAAAAACTTTTTGAACACAAACAAAAAAATATTATTTACCACGTGACTTGATTATATGCTTTCTGATGTTTGGTTCGAGCTGGTTCGCATAAATCCGCTACTGTTTTTAAATTCACAACGCTCTAAGACATAAAAGCGGAAGCAAGAAATAAGAACACGAGTTAAAATTTATGCTAAAATATAATTAGCTGTTGAATATACAGTAGATAATTTACATCATAAACTGATGTCAACTGGAGAAATGCTAGAACTGAAGGAAGTAAATGATAGCCACTTCATTCAAATTGAGCACTTTCCAGAAAGACATATTTACAACTTTATACAAGATTGAACTTACATTATCTTAAGTACCATGACAAGCAAATCATGATAGTTAAATACTATAAATAGCAGTAACCTTGTGTGCACTCATTATATTTGTCTACCAAATAGTAGACGTGTATGTTTAATATATGAAAAAATAACCAGGACATATAAACCATGAGAAGAATTATCAACAATCATGATTGTAATCAAACTACATTTGCTTGTGTATCTGTGCTTAATAATGATGGAAACAAACAAACAAGCAAAATTTAGACAGATAACAAACTACGCACAAAACACTAAGCCATAAACACATATATGAAGATTATTAAAGAGTAAAAAATCAAAGATGTATAATGCGTATGTGATAGAAGGCATGGAAATGTGAAACATTCAGTGATCAGAAAATGAGGTGAAATAAAAAGAGAGATGAAACCCGCCAAAAAAATGAACACAGAAATACATCTAATATGAACAATACCAGATCTCCGGTACTCTGTGAAGCTCTAATATCCAATGGACTCTTGATACAGATTCTATCATCATTATAATTATCATTGTTGTTGTAATCAGTTGTTCGCTGATGACGAGAGGAGAATTTCTTACGAAAACTATGAATCCGACGTGTTTTATGTTGATACTGACGTGAACTTCTACGCCATGGAACAACAGGTTCAAAAAATGGATTCGACCAACCTGATACAACACCATCTCCATCAGAATTAGCTTCACAATTTACATTCAATGAATTGTGCTGATGATATAGATTAATTTTATGATTTATACAGTTTTGATGTAGCAAAGACAACCCAAAACGAGTGTATAATAAAAATAAAATAGAGGAAAAATATAAAAGAAATTAGATTAATTGTTCACGTATTGGCTTGTAAATATTAGTTATAATTTGATTATGTCATTATTGGTTAGTTACATAGACTGATAACCAAAGGGAGGGAGCAGATCTTCACATAGGACATAATCAATGATAACTCCAACAAATGTGAACAGCAATAAGCGAAAACATCTAACTAACCGATATCCTAACGTTCAAATGAACGGCTAATTGTCAAATTACAACATAGAGTAAGCAGTGTAAAAGATAGATACATGATGATCACAAGTTCTAATAAAATAACGTCAAAACATTTCGACGAGTGGAACGTTGAAGCAACTACATAATTTTCGAGTCGGAAACCCAGTATGACATAGCACTCTAATACCATATTTCTTCCTATGAGTATCGATTGATTTGACAGCAAAATAACTGTCACAACAGAAGAAAATGGTATTCTTGTGTAGATAGATGATCGATTCTCATGAGCTGATGTGAATCATGACAAAGCAGAGATTGCATCCTTTGACATAAAGCTCTCACATGATGTAAAGATATCAGAAGATAGAACGCATTTATACACAAAACATCGAATAAAAAATACACGTAATGTTAAAGTTACTTAAAATACAATTGACTACATGGTGTTAGTTTCCTAAATCCAATACCGCCTAGGAAATTGAAATCTAACTATCAGACTTAATTCTCGCTTATCATATCAATAATCAACTCAAGCTTTAACAAAACTTTCCCATAATCCCATATTTAAACACTATCTTGTTCACAAAAACCATTCAACCACAGATCATTAGATAACTCTAATCAATTTATGAAAACATTGACGGATGATTTGAGACATATATTATGTTCCAAGCTTCCTTGTCAGGATTTTTGATAGAGTAGTAACGTATGATTGGAGATCATAGGTAACATAGTTCGAAATTAACGTTACGGTAGCATCTTACAATGTATTCCTTTTTATTTAAATTTTACACTTTGTCATACACATTTTAGTTAGAAACTAATGTATTATTTCAAATAACTTTAAATTCATAATGGTGTGGACCTGTTAAATTTTACTAAACTCCCATTGAATTTTTATACGCGGTTTTCTTCCTTATTAATTGATGTATGATTAGTCTCATTATTTTATTTTAATATTTTCTTGCTGTGCTGACTTGATTAAAGCAATCAAAAGTCGGTATGTACTACGTTGTCGGTTGTATTTATACTATTTTGTTGCAGGTTGGAACTCTTCTCTTCCTACTCTGACATAAGCAGTAAGTTGCTACCACAGATACCTTTAAAAAAACGTGTTAATTCGAAATATGTACACGAACATCGACTTTCAAATGTTCTAACAGATAATGTGAGATTTTTATATATTTTCTATGTCTGCCACCTACCAATTAGGTTATATTATACTACTAATAATATTACTAACAGTAATAATGACAACAGATAAAAAACAGTGAATTAAACAAGAAACGATATTAACGAATAAATAAAAATTAATGGCAATAACAGTAAGAAGACAGTAAGCAAAAAACGTAACTAGTTTTTTACATGAACTTTAACCACACCTAATCATGAGAAAAGATGTAATTAATGGGATTAAGAATAATTTATGGTAAGGGTGACACTAGCAGGTGCAAACAAGACATTCTTTATCTATAAATAAAAAGCATGGATCGGCTGTTTATTGTATCAAGCGATTATTTATATGAAAATTTATAAGGAATTATCCGACTGTAACTTCTACTCTAATATGGTAATCAGCCATGCCTAAGTGTGAGTAATTGGTAAGTGACAAATCGACCCACATCTTTAAAATCACTTGATATTATCTTGTCCACGTTTAAATCTTTCCTCTCTTCCTAATATTCTATCTATCCTTACTAGCAATCCTTTTCTGATGGTTTCATCTTCATCCGCATGAAGTGTTGTTTGTAATCTCCGGAAAATGCGCACCAAACCTTATCACAAATCTAACAATATACTTTACTAATTAGGGCTCCAGAATCCCGTTCTCTATTGAAATATGTTGCATCTCTAAAACTGTCTTTTATTCATTCGTCTAATCCCACTTAGTCAGTAACAGAAATCGGCAAGATTTACCCTTCGCAAATCTGGGGATTTGACTTCTACTTCTCAAAGCGTCGTTGTCGTAGGTAAAGTATTAATTTCCAAAGTACAACAGGCTCCCTTGGATTAGATCCCGATAAACAGCTGCTTATGTGCTGTCCCAACAAATGGTATGGTAGGAACCTAACAAAATAGAGACTTAGTTTCTCTTTACGCTCTCATTGACTGGAGTTCCGATAGAAAAGTGTTTTACAGAAGGCTTTTAACCCCACTGTTCAAAAAGCTAAACCTTCAGACATAGTAAGTGTAATCCTGAAGTACAAAGATCTTTGCATGACGACTGTTGGTAGAAACCAAAGATTTTAATGTGATGTATATGGAAATCTCTTCACATAGAAAGGCGATTCGGTTAGAAGCTATTCGTAGAAAGCGGCAATTTCAGTGCAATAAGTTTAGAAAATACTTCACTCGAAAATAGCGGTTCAAATATAAAGTCTAAAGTAATCGTTTATAAATAATTAACGGTAATTTAAAAACGAAAAAAAATATGGCAACAGTAAGTAAGAAGCCAAGGATAAGACAATATCAAAATACCGTACATCAAATATTTGGTAGATATACATTGAAAATATATATGCTAATTCACCGAACAATAGCTTTCAAAGTTTCTCACTACTCTTTATTCACCCAACTATAGCAACAAGTGACCAGGTTTTTTAAATACTCTTGTGGACATGCAAACCAAAAGAAGTGATGCGCAAATATTTGGGACATAGATATAGGAAGTCGTTTTTATTCAAATAATCCCAATGCAAAAAGATTCCAAATGGGCATCATAAAAATAAAAACAAATACGTTAACTAGTTAACAACCCTCAATTATTACTCTACCGGTTAATGAAGTCAGTTGAAAAAAATGGATTCTGAAATGTACTGGAGATTATAACACGAGCCAATAAATAGAGAAAACGACATTACATGTAGCATATGGGGTTCTGGATACTCCTTTGCCTAATATATCAACATTTATGAACGTGATACAAGCAACTGATATAAAATGGTATCATTATTATAAGATGTAAATATGACAAATGAAAGAGTGCAAACAAGAAAAGGTAAGCAATTTATATTCTAAGTAAAGAGGGTTTTCGGAAAACAAGATACGAATCCGAGCAAATGTCACATTCATAAAGTCGAGAACATGAAAGCGTCGACACATCCTAACAGTCAGAAGAATATTGGATGGGTTGTATGTGACTAGCAGCGGGATTCAGTGTGTTTTGTCCTATTAGAGACTCGTCAGTTGGATGTACCTGCATCCCGGAGTTTATATTCACTACGAGACTCGAACCCGGTGCTGTATGCTTCAAGCTCCATCGCGTTATCCACTTAGCTACTAAGTCCAGATGGACACTCGTACAACGGGTATGAGATTTAATTCAACTTGACGAGTCCCAAATAGGAAAACATGCGCGCATTCTGTCTATTCTATATCAAATTGTGTCATAATGGCTCTATCGAAGCGGTACAGGATGTCCATATATCCCAACTAAGATATCAGATTTTAGTCAAAAATACCAACGGAATAATCTAAACCATTTCAAATTAAATCAGATTTTAAAATGGTTTATGGGTGATCTATAGATATAAGGATGTGTCTATATATATCCCAATTAGGATGGTTAGGTGGCAGAAAGAAAAGTTACTTTTCATTCCATAGGAAAAAGACGTTTTAAGAAATACATCTACCACTCAATAAACTAGTAATGAGCATATGATTATTATTTAGTTTTAAGGTTTGTGGAGATTTTTTTAATTTCGAAGGTGGTTTTTTTAAACCGCTGAGAAGTGCCCAAAATTTTTTACTTTTTTTAAATAAATGATAGTTCTGATTTGCAAA